TCCAATTCACTATTGTTTAAACAAAGAGTGCGCTAAAAAAACCAGTGATTTTCTGGTGTATAGGTTACAAAGCTATATGAAATCTCATAAGATGCTTGGTCTATTCATACATCTCGTCTGTGATTACATAAAATTCATTCCAACAAATATTCAGATTGTACTTCGTAATACATTGAAATATCCCATTGTGGTCTTCATGATCTAAAAAAGAATTTAGGATGTGTAGAAGGAACAGATGATACAAATTCGCAGTCATCCACAAAAATCTTCGTATCCTTTGTATGTACCCCATTTTTAAATTGTTTATTTTTCAGATAAACGCTGCAGTAATTCGCGACAGAGACTGCGCTTTTTACGTAAATGCTCTTTTATTATTATTCATATTTTCGAAGTGAAAATCACATAAAATTCTTGAAACCGAGGAGGGGAGAACACAGTGAGTCAGAATCGAAGCACATTGTGTACTAAATTAATAATTTCATTTCATCAATGTCAAATCCGTTACATAAATAACATTCTCTTGAGAGGAATGTCACAACTGAGGAAACGTGATTTTCGAGTTGTTACTATGAAAATATTGCAGAAAGAGATTCATTCTCATTATGGAACTCTGACTCATTGATCTTCATAATTCAGCTGATGAAAAGGAATTCTTGATCCGTATCACATTGTGCTGCGTTTTATTAGAATGTATTTTTTATTATGAATTTTGTTCTGATTATCATTATGATACATTACGATGCAGATACGTATTGATAAGATAAGAAGTGCACTAATTTCACTTGAGTTGTTTCTTGAATGAACGAAATAAAGTTCAAGTTTTTTTAAAACCAAATTTTCGAGTTGTTCCACTTTTGCGCAGAAGAGCGATAAGGAAAAATTAAATAAATATGTTCTTTTCGGAAAATGTTATTTTAAAAGACTTTTGTGGACGACCTTTTTGCTAATACTCACATTAGTAAACGTAATTAGAGACATTTGTATTATATTTGCTGCTGTGACTTTCATTGGGTTATTCGATATAGCAATAACTATGATCAAATAGCGTGCCTTTTTCATAGGCAGCTGATAGCAGTCTAATGTATTAGATATCTTTTTAACAATATTGCCCTGAGACACAAAAAAGTTTCACTTTGCAAATCGTAATACTGTCATTTCAGAGAAAATTCTGTTTTTATTAATCAGTGC